TAGATTTATGCAATGATTGGTATTCCTTTAATGTTCATGTGTTTGACATATACGGGTGATTTATTAGCTGATGCTTTTATAACTAGTTATTCAAAGATGGTCAATTTTTTTTTATCGACAATTCTGTCGGACACGATTAGTTCGTTGTTTATCATATGATATAGATCAAAATTTTGATCATACTGATGTAGGAATATTTTTTTATTTATGAAATTTTCAAAATTTTTCTTATTAGTCTGAACATGAAGAAGCACGACATGTACCTATTGTAGCAACATTAGCTGTTCTTGCACTTTATATTGCAATGGGTGCATTACTTTTTGCTCAATGGGAAAGTTGGCATGTACTTGATGGAGCTTATTTTTGTTTTATAACATTTACTACAATTGGTTTTGGAGATCTTGTACCAGGTAAAGGTACAGTTGCAGAATCGAAAGCGGGTAAAGCAGCAATGTGTGCATTATTTCTTTTATTTGGTATGATTGTTATGGCAATGTCATTTAAATTAATGCAAGATGAAATAATGTCAAAATTTCGACGAATTGCAAGACGTTTTGGTTTTGTAAAACAAAATATGAATGATCCTGGTTAAAATAATTTCAATGAAAAATTTTTATCACAAGAAAATTATGATTTTTGTTTCGCATGTCTGTGATTTTTCATTGCATGTTTTTTGGATGTGTGTGCGTGTGTGTGTGTGTGTGTGTGTGCGTATCCTTGTGCTTTATATTTGTTTTGTTTTTCTACTTCGACATTAAAAGTCAAATAGTGTCATCAACATCTTTATCGTTTTATTTTTTTTCTCTTCTCTTCTCTTTTGATAATATAATGATATTAATGACTTAGATTTAGAAACTCATGTACAGAGAGTGTTTATGTGTGTTTTGTATTTATTTGGTAAATAATAATAATACGATTCTTTGAATAATAATTAACAACAAAAATGAAAATATTATTTGGATATAAGAAAAAATACGGTAAGATAATTAATAGTATTTTAGATTCTGATTATTTTTAAAAAATATCGTATTTTTAATCGATTTGGTAGTCAAATGTCGACAAAAAAATGTCGATAGATAAAATGGTGACAGATCAAATGCCGACGTATAGAGTGCGGGTGTGGGTATCCCTCTATTTTATACCCACACCCTTCTTTTCTTTGTATTTCATGATGTCGACATTTTATTATCGACGTCTGGCTATTTTCCCTTTTAATCTATTGATATGATAAATAATACATTTCAGTAAAAGTATTGATGATGTTCAGTGTTTTATTTAGCGAGTGGGCGGTGCCCAGCCGAAATAGGAGACTTAAACAAAGCGCTGTTAGACGACGCCCATCCAAAATTTTTATTTCGCCCACCCGAAAAAAAATCTGAAAAAATATTTTTAATTGAAGGCATATTCATGATGTAGATTGTTTCATTAAGTTTAAAATAATAAGCATTCACATTGATGAATCGGAATATAGATTTTATCTATTAATATTTTGTTCGAAGAAGAACATATGGTTTCGTTTACTTATTTGCAAGTCCATTATCACTAATAGGATACATACTATCTGTATGATTTTTCATCAACGCATACTGTATAAGAGCGAAGTCTACAAAAAACAGTATACGTAACTAAAGTTTAAATTGATCCTTCTGATAAGCAACAAATCAAGTATTTACTCAGATCTGAATATAATATTATTACATGTCATAAAAATATTTATTTACCTAGATGTTTTGTAGAACTTTTTTTCTATATATACAATGATTTTTTGTGAATGAAAGCTTTGTAAATCTATATTGAAATAAAATTAGCAATGAACTATAATATCTTGCTATTTAACTTTTAATTTTAAAATTGTCAGAGGACGCTAGAAGTCGGGTAATCGATATATCTACAATTGACATATTCATTATTTCATTTATCCAACGGTTAGTCTTTTTAACCTATCAAAATTTTACTCATATATTTAAAAGTTCTTTGTTCACTTAATATTTCAATCTTTTTAATTTCTACTCGAGACAAATGTTATTTTTATCACTTCTATTCAAATAATCTCATGTCTAGTGTTCTTAACTGATGAGGTACTAATCGTTTGATATACATGAATATTCATTGATTGTGACTTTGATTACTACATTTACATTGTTATTATAGTTTGCTGTCTAAATTGACATCGATTACTTGAGGGTAATCATATACTCGATCGTTTACTGTTTTTTTATACATATGTTTGTATGTTTGCTTACCCCTTTCTTCTAATTTTTATTCTCTGAGTCTAGCACGTGTGTATACAAGTTTAACTTGACCTTTAATATATATATATGTGTATTGAACATCAGATTGTATATTAGAGAAAAAGAGCGAACATTTCCATCGTTTCTCTTTTTTTTTTCTGGTAAATGTCTGCAAGAGAATAGCAAAAAATGAACGTTATGTCCATCTTCTAACATTTAATTGGATGCATATGTAGAAGAAAAAGTTTCTATCGTGTTTCTACATCGAAATCCCTGAATAGTGCTGAATAATAGAAAAGAATCCTTGTCTTGTCTCATTTTGTAGATATGTAACGGGATAAACTGTATTTAGATACGATAGACACACGGTATATATATACGTACGACAACGTTATGCATCATCAATAGTCAACAGAACGATATAAATATATATATGTATATGTATATATATATGTATGTATGTGACAATGATACTCTTATACAATTGTTACCCGACGACAGCAATGTTACAATACAAACGTTGAAAGAAAAAGTGAGACAGACAAGATGTTAAAACGTGCTTAGAGCTCTTTTACTTAGATCAGACAGACAACTAAAGATGTAATAGAAAAAAAAATTAGTTCACTGTCTACGACCATCGTTCATTTTCTTTCTTTTTCTTTTCTTTTTCTGTTGTGCATTGAATGTCAAAGAAATGCAGAAGAGTGAGTGGACGGAGGTCGTATATAAAAAAACAAGCACGATGATTTATAATGTACCATTGACCGCAGCCATTCACGATTCATCATCATCATTATTGTTGCCCTTGAAAAAGAAATCATTAGTTTTCGTTATTGCTTTAAAATAGCAAGTAAGCAATGTTTACGATTGCCTTCTTTTTTTCTTCTTCGTCTTACAAAAAAATATCCCTCCAATTTCTTTCTTGAATTACAAAAAATAAATACAAAAATTTTCGTTAGTCTCTTTCTCTTTCTATCGTCGTACGCATTTTCGTTTGTCTCCTTTTATTTGAACTAGAAATGTGCCTATGTTGTAATAACAAAACTGTCATCATTGTTAAGTTCTTTTCAAATATAACCATACGCGCATACACTCACAGGTAAAGAAATCAATCGGGCATCATTGGTGATCTACAATTCTATAGATGGTAAAATATAAGTACTCCTTCGTTCTTCTTTTTTTTCCTCTTGCTATTACTCCTAATAAATCGTATACTTCGATCATATACATACATAAAATCGATCAGAAAAGAACATTAATGATGACGTTGATTTTTATCATAAATAGATGTATATGGTGCAGTGAACATTTCACTATACATTTAGTCATAGAGAAGAAAAAAAAA